GTCCCTGATCGCCGCAGTGTCCCTGATTGCCACACAAGTGGCCCAGCAGTGTCCCTGATCGCCGCAGTGGCCCTGCAGTGTCCCTGATCACCGCACAAGTGGTCCAGCAGTGTCCCTAATCACTGCAGTGTCCCTGATTGCTGCAGTGGCCCAGCAGTGTCCAGGATCACTGCAGTGGCCCAGCAGTGTCCATGATCACTGCAGTGGCCCAGCAGTGTCCATGATCACTGCAGTGGCCCAGCAGTGTTCCTGATTGCCACACAAGTGGCCCAAGAAATTAGATGTGTAATTTTTACCCTTAGAACGCTAACAGGTGCTTATTGTGGAGCCCCTCTATGTGGCCAGACTGTGAAAAAGTCTCACACATTTGGTATCGCCATATTCAGCAGGAGTTAAAGAATGCATTTTGCAGTGTAATTTTAAGTATGCCTATGCTGTGTAATAGAAAAATCTCATAGATTGACAACTTTGCGTAAAAAAAAAAAATACATTTTCATTTTATTTTCACATTTTCCAAAAACTTGTGGCAAAAAATGAAGTCTTCAGAGGACTGCCCATGCCTCTTAAAACATACCTTAGGGTCTTGGCTTTCCAAAATGGGGTCATTTTGTGGGTAATTCAATTGTCCTGATGCTCCCATGACCTCCAAAACGGCAATAGGTAGTCAAAAAATTAGATGTGTAATTTTTGCCCCTAGAACTATTTCATAGATTGACAACTTTGCGTAAAAAAAAATACATTTTCATTTTCTTTTCACATTTTCCAAAAACATGCGGCAAAAAATTGTCTTCAGAGGACTCCCCATGCCTCTTAAAACATACCTTGGGGTGTTTGCTTTACAAAATGGGGTCATTTTGTGGGTAATTCAATTGTCCTGATGCTCCATGACCTCCAAAACGGCAATAGGTCGTCAAGAAATTAGATGTGTAATTTTTGCCCCTAGAACTCCAAAAAGTGCTTATTGGAAATGGAGCCCCTCTATATGGCCAGACTGTGAAAAAGTCTCACACATGTGGTATCGCCATATTCAGGAAGAGTTAGAGAATGTGTTTTGGGGTGTAATTTTAAGTATGCCTATGCAGTGTATTAGAAATATCTTATAGATTGACAACTTTGCGTATAAAAAAAATACATTTTCATTTTCTTTTCACAATGTCCAAAAACTTGTGGCAAAAAATGAAGTCTTCAGAGAACTGCCCATGCCTCTTAAAACATACCTTGGGTGTTTGCTTTCCAAAATGGGGTCATTTTGTGGGTAATTCCATTGTCCTGATGCTCCATGACCTCCAAAACGGCAATAGGTAGTCAAGAAATTAGATGTGTAATTTTTGCCCCTAGAACTCCAAAAAGTGCTTATTGGATATGGAACCCCCCTATGTGGCCAGACTGTGAAAAAGGCTAAGACATTTGATATTGCCATATTCAGCAGGAGTTAAAGAATTTGTTTTGAGGTGTAATTTTAAGTATGCCAATGCTGTGTAATAGAAATATCTCATAGAATGACAACTTTGCGTAAAAAAAATACATTTTTCATTTTCTTTTCACATTTTCCAAAAACATGCGGCAAAAAATTGTCTTCAGAGGACTCCCCATGCCTCTTAAAACATACCTTGGGGTGTTTGCTTTACAAAATGGGGTCATTTTGTAGGTAATTCAATTGTCCTGGTGCTCCAGGACCTCCAAAACTGTGATAGACAGTCAAGAAATTAGATGTGTAATTTTTGCCCCTAGAACGCCTAACGGTGCTTATTAGATGTGGGGCCCTTCTATGTGGCTAGGCTGTGAAAAAGTTTCACACATGTGGTATTGCCATACTCAGGAAGAGTAGCAGAATGTGTTTTGGGGTGTAATTGCAAGTATGCCTATGCCGTGTGAGAGAAAGAACTTGTTAAATGACAACTCTGTGGGAAACAAAAATTGTTTATGTTCATCATTTCCCTCAAAAATTGGCAAAAAGTTACAACTTCAAAAAAACTCTCCATGCCTCTCATTAAATACCTCAGACTGTCTACTTTCCAAAAAGGGGTCATTTGGGGGGTATTTGTACTGTCCTGGCATTTTAGGGCTCCAAGAAATTATATAGATAGTCAGTACATCAGTACCATGGTCTGTGGACTCTAACTTTCACAAAGACTAAATAATACACACTGATTTGGGTTATTTCTACCAAAAAAATGTAGCACAATGGATTTTGGCCTAAATTTATGAAGAAAGTATATTTATTTTCAAAATTTAGTAACAAAAACTAAGAAAAACATGTTTTTTTTTTCAAAATGTTCAGTTTTTTAATTTTTCTAGCAAAAAATAAAAACCCCAGTGGTGATTAAATACCACCAAATAAAAGCTCTATTTGTTTGAAAAAAATGATAATAATTTCATTTGGATACAGTGTCGTAGGCCTGAGTAATTGTCATTCCCAATGTGAGAGCACTGAAAGCTGAAAATTGGCCTGGACAGGAAGGGGGTGAAAGTGTCCGGACATGAAGTGGTTAAAGAGAAAGAAAGGGTTTTCAGGGATTGTCTAAAGGTGGATAGATTAGGAGATAGTCGGACAGATTGGGGTAAGGAGTTCCATAGAATGGGAGAATCTCAGGAGAAGTCCTGGAGGCGAGCATAGCAGGAGGTGACACGGGAACTAGAGAGCAGAAGGTCTTGGAAGGATCAAAGACAGCGATTTCTTTGATATTTTGAGACCAGGTTGGTGATGTAGCTGGGGGCAAATTTGTGGATGGCTTTGTAAGTTGTTGTTAGTATTTTGAATTTTATTAATTGAGTGAGTGGAAGCCAGTGGAGGGATTGGCAGAGAGGGGTAGCAGACAATGAATGGTTGGTAAGGTGGATGAGCCTGGCAGCAGAATTCATGATGGACTGGAGAGAGGGTGCAAGAGCCGCATAAGCTGATGCCTCCTCTGTAGTGCTGGCTCCTACGCCCTGCCATGGTTGGTGGGTGTAGCACCTGCCAAGCATGACCCATTTGAATGAATGAGGCCATTCTGCAAGTGCCCTGCAAGCTTGTGCATTACAGCAAACGGGGTTAAACAGGCAGTGTTGTGTTGCTTTCTCACCATCTGCTTTAACCCCTTGGACCCCGTAGAAGCATGCAGTTATGGGGCACTTGCAAAGTGGTCCCATTTCCTTGAATTGGTCTGATTGGCAAGCGGTAGCACCCACCAAAAGCAACAGGGGGTGTCATTTCTGCTGCAGCATGTGTACACCTTTTGGCTGCTGCCTCAGCAGCTAAAGGAGGGTAGGGATTTGGAGCGGTAAAAACTGTGACTCAACCCTGAGGGTACCGCTGCCAGATGCAACTAAGAGCTCATTCACAAGTGCAGCAAGCACTACTGCGCCTCTGGAAAGCTATCCGAGCAGGGGCAGACTGACAAATCATGGCGCCCCCGGGAAATAGGGGATCATTGGGCCCCTGTGTCCTTGCCCAAACTCAAAAAAGCCTATGAAAAAAGGTACCAGCGGCATCTCATGGGGCCCCCTACTGACCCCGGGTCCTCGGGCAGTGCCCGAGTTTCCAAATGGTCAGTCCGCCCCTGGATCCGAGTGTGTTTGACAGGTGGTGAGGAGGTGATATGTTGCCTCCTGACTGCCTGATTTAAACCCATGATTGCTGTGCAATGCACGCGATTGTGAGATGGTAGTACAACAATTAGAGATTTAAATCAGGTTGTGAGGAGGTGACACTGTGCTCGGTGATCTTTGACTTCTCCCATGCTGTTCAGGTAGATCTCCACCGCTTTAATCACTTGCCAACCACGCTATAGCCGAATGACAGCTAGAGTGCGGTTATCCAGTCCTGGGAGGGCGTCAGCTGATCACGTGATGTGCTAAAAGGCCGCTATGATAGACCTTTTACCACATCACGTCCAATGACACAGCAGACCACCGGTAAATGCAGTTGCCAGTTATTGGCTGCACTTTCCTCACACTGTCACATCCTGAGGAAAGTACTGCTAACTGGCAATTGTCAGAGGATGGATCAGCACCGATCATCAGGGCACTGAAGATCAGTGCCCTGATGATCAGTCCCACCCACCTGTGCCACCCACCTGTGCCCAGCAGTGCCTAGTAGTGCCATCTACCTGTGCCCAACAGTGCCATCCACCTGTGTCCAGTAGTGCCAACCCACCACTGCCCAGCAGTGCCTAGGAGTGCCATCCACCTGTGCCCAGCAGTGCCACCCACCACTGCCCAGCAGTGCCCCCCATCAGTGCACAGCAGTGCCGCCAATCAGAGCCCAGCAGTGCCGCCAGTCAGAGCCATCAGTGCCACCTATCAGTGTCCATCATTGTTGCATATCAGTGCAGCATCATCAGTGCCGCCAATTTTCAGCTTTCAACACTGTCGCACTTTGAATGACAATTGCACGGTAATGCAACACTGTACCAATATGAAATTTTTATAATTTTTTTCAGACAAATAGGGCTTTCTTTTGGTGGTATTAAATCACCACTGTGTGTTTTATTTTTTTCACTATAAACAAAAATGAGCAAAAAATTTGAAAAAAAAATTTTTCTTTGTTTCTATTATTACATTTTGCAAACAGGTATTTTTTCTCCTTCACTGATGTGTGTTGATGAGGCTGCACTGATAGGCAGCACTGATGGGCACTAATAGGCAGCATTGATGGGCACTGATTGGTGGCATGGATAGGCAGCACTGATGGGCACTGATAGGTAGCACTGATGGGCACGGATAGGCAGCACTGATGGGCACTGTTAGGCAGCACTGATGGGCTCAGTTTGGAGTGTATTGATACAGAAATTGTTTTTCTCTAGGGAGGGTGCATGTGATCAGCACAGGGCCAATCAGCAGTGTCCCAATGGAGGTCAAGGGTTCTGTATCATCCTAGAGCAGAAAGAAAACTCCTCTTACAAGCTTTAACCAGTGCTCTGCTGAACACTGATAGAAGTCACAAGACTGCTGATAAGAAAAGGTATGTAGCAGTTTATATTTACTAAAATAATTGCATTTCCATGTTGTGTGTGTACTGTGGGAGGCCAAATATAGTGAATGCAGGGTCCTGGGTTTAGGAACACTTTAAATATACAACTTTGTAGAATAGCCTCTGTATTTTGCTGCAGTCACACTATAGATGAACATTCTCAGAGTGCATTAGGCCTCATGTACAGTGGTCTATTGAACGCTCTTCCTCCTGACAGGAGAAAATCAGTGTTAAAAAACTCACCTAAGCTGCATTTTTTATATCAGTTTAGGTGCGTTTAGCAGCATTTGGTGTTTGGGAGTTTTTTTATTTCATTGGTCAGAATTTTACATTTTTTCTGGGCATTGAAATGAATAAATGCTGAAGTGCTAAATGCATTTTTTTTTTCTGGGGAGGGTGCATGTGATCTGCACAGGGCCAATCATAGGACTCATAGAACAGTCAGAGGAGAATGAGGAGTCAGAGGAGAATGAAAACTCCTACAAGCTTTAACCAGTGCTCTGCTGGACACTGGTAGAAGTCACAAGACTGCTCTAACTGCTGATGAGAAAAGGTATTTAGCAGTTTATATTGACTAAAAGAATTGCATTTCCATGTTGTTTGTACTGGGGGAGACCAGATATAGTGAATGCAGGGTCCTGGGTTTACAACACTTTAGGCTAGGTTCACACCTATGCAGGTTGCATTTGAGCCGTTTCTGCATAGCGTTTTGCGTTTTTGCACTTGCAGGGTTTATTTTCATTTTTTTTAATTTTTATTGTTGCTAGGCAGATTTAAAATGCAAAATGCATCAAAAAATGCATGGCTATACGTGCTTTTCTGCAGCGTTTCCATTGAGGTCTATAGAAACAAAAATGCAACTTTTGCGTTCAAAAAGTTCCTGACCCTTTCAAAAAAACGCAACGGGTGAAAACATGGAGATGTGAACCTGTCTGATAGGAAATCATGTTAAATGGACTGTACTGCGTTTCTGCAAAACACTGCAGAAAATGCTTAGGTGTGAACCCAGGGTTAAGTATACTGTACATTTACAGAATCACTGAACATTTCTGAATGCTATGAGAAAATGTTTGCTGACCACGACCTTAGATTGTACACGCCTTGAGGGTTAGGGACTGATGTGAATGTACAATATACAGTTGCAAGAAAAAGTATGTGAACCCCTTGGGATTACGTGGAGTTTTGCATGAATTGGGCATAAAATGTGCTCTGAACGTCATTTAAGTCACAACAATAGAAGAACACAGTCTGCTGAACATAATACTACACAAACATTAGATGTGGCCATGGTTTAATTGCACATAACATGTAAACATTCACGGTGCAGGGAGGAAAAAGTATGTGAACCTTTGGACTTAATAACTGGTTGACCCTCCTTTGGCAGCAATAACCTCAACCAAAAAACGTTTCCTGTAGTTGCAGATCAGACCTGCACAACGATCTGGAGTAATTTTGGACCACTCCTCTTCACAAAACTGTTTCAGTGTAACAATATTCTTGGGATGTCTGTTGTGAATTGCTCTCTTAAGGTCATGCCACAGCATTTCAATCGGGTTGAGGTCAGGACTCTGACTGGGCCACTCCAGAAGGCGTATTCTGTGCTGTTGCAGCCATTGTTTTGTTGAATGACTTGTATGCTTTGGGTCATTGTCCTGTTGCATCACCCACCCTCTGCGGAGCTTCAGTTGGCGGACAGATGGTCGTAACATTTTCCTGCAAAATGTCTTGATAAACTCTGGAATTCATTTTCCATCAATGTCAACAATCCGTCCAGGCCCTGAGGCAGTAAAGCAGCCCCAAACCATGATGCTCCCTCCGCCATGTTTTACAGTAGGGATGAGGTTTTGATGTTGGTGTGCTGTGCCTTTTTTTCTCCACACATAGTGTTGTGTGTTCTTCCCAAACAACTCAATCTTGGTTTCATCTGTCCACAGTATATTTTGCCAGTAGTGCTGTGGAACATCCAGGTGCTGTTTGGCAAACTTCAAACGTGCTGCAATATTCTTTTTGGACAGCAATGGCTTCCTCCGTGGTGTCCTCCCATGTACTCCATTCTTGTTTAATGTTTTCCTTATTGTAGATGTGTCAACAAAAATGTTAGCATGTGCCAGAGATTTCTGTAGGTCTTTAGCTGACACTCTGGGATTCTTCTTTACCTCATACAGCATTCTGCGCTGTGCTCTTGCAGTCATTTTTACAGGACGACCACGCCTAGGGAGAGTAGCAACAGTGCTAAACTTTCTCCATTTGTAGACAGTCTGTCTTACCGTGGACACATGAACATCAAGGCTTTTGGAGATACTTTTGTAACCCTTTCCAGCTTCATGCTAGTCAACAATTCTTGATCGTAGGTCTTCTGAGAGCTCTTTTCTGCGAGGCATGGTTCACATCAGGCAGTGCTTCTTGAAACCAGTAAACCCAAAACAGGTGTGTGTTTTTTAAGGGCAGGACAGCTGTCAGCAACACATCCAAGATCATCACACTGATTGGAGTCAAGGTTAGCTCACTCCTTGCTCCAATTAGCTCTGGGAGAAGTCATTAAGTTAGGACCTCACATACTTTTTCCTCCCTGCACTGTGAATGTTTTACATGTTATGTGCAATTAAACCATGGCAATATCTAATGTTTGTGTAGTATTATGTTCAGCAGACTGTGTTTTTCTATTGTTGTGACTTAGATGACGTTCAGAGAGCACATTTTATGCCCAATTCATGCAAAACTCCACGTAATCCCAAGAGGTTCACATACTTTTTCTTGCAACTGTATATGTAAAGCACTGCGTAAAAGTGACGGCACAATATAAGTACCTGAAATAATAATAATATTGCCTGGAGAAACACCAGCATTTGATACAACTGGAATCTGAACGTCCACAATTAACCAAAGTGTCCCTGCAGCAAATGTTTTAAACCTAAACAAGATTTCCAAGTACTGCAGCCATTTTCATGACTCAGAAAAGTTGTAATGCAGGACGCCAATCTGGAGCATCCTGCAAGTTTACTGTGCTACTGTCAGTAAATGGCTGTAACTGCTGCTCCCAGGAATGACTGACTCACGGTGCATTCTTCAGTAAATGTAGCCCTTTCCCAACATCAGCCTGCATTATTAGACGAAAAACTTGCATAGCTGGTCTGCTTTCCCGAAATGCTGTGGTCATATGTCATGTTTGTTAACAATCAGAGATCAATAGACTGTGACATGACAAGTCAGACAATTTTGATATTATTGCCAGTCCAGAACTGCTGAGTCTTGTTATCTTCCCAACCAAATTCTACATTGTTGCATCATCTTTCAGGATCTAAGCAGCAAAAACGAACGTGAATATGTATGTGCTAATGTCGCAAAATTTCAGGAAGATATAAAAGCCACAACTAAGGCTCAGTTCACACTAGCTTTGCCAGCAGGCATCAGACAGGCGTTTGGGAAGCATTTTTAACACTTCTCAAACACCTATGAAAATTCTGCATATGACAGCACACAGTGCTGTTCACACTGAAGCATTAGCGTTGCGGAAAAGTTGACGCCTCGGAGGAGTTGAAGCTTCCTATTCAAGTCTATGGTGCCGCTCCGCAAACACCTGGCAGGTGTTTGCGAAGCAGTTGCGGAGCGTTATACCATTTAACTTCATTATAGGCATTTGTGGTGCGGTTTTAACGCTTGGAAAACGCCTATCAACCACCTCAAAACTGCGCATGGTGCGTTTGGGGAGTGTTAAAAACGCTTACCAAATGCCTAACGCCTGTCAAATGCTATAGGGGCCTTTGGCAAGAGTTAGAAATAAAGTCAAGTGTGAACGAGCCCTAAGGGCCTTTTCACATGGCTCCACTGAAAAAAAAAGATGGTAAAAACACACACTTTTTTTGCTGAGTTTTCAGGAATTCTGACTCTGGCACTTGTGAAATTGAGCATGTGACTCAAAAAATGCACAATGGGTGTGTGTTTGATGCCTTTTGATGCATTTTCCATTCATTTCAATGGGGAGGTATGTTTTTGATGTGGATTTTTAAACATGCGCTAAAAATGCAGTATACAGGACTTTTGAAAATACACCTCACCTGCAACACACTGGTGTGAAAAGTCCCATAGGATTTCAAGGGTACATTTTTCAATGGCATCTTCAGTGTGGGCACCTGGCTGTGACAGCTTTCAGCTTCACAGCCCACTGCGCATGCGCTTTGTGAATGGCCACGTAGTCTTGTGGAGCCTGTCACATGTCCCAGAAGACTACGGGGAGGGAGGGGGGTACATCTTCTGCTTAGGCAATTGCAGTGGAAGTAGGAACGGGTACCTGACCAATTTGGGTACCCCCTCCCCCATTCCTCAAAGGTGCCAAGCCTTAACAGGGAGCGGGGGATGAAGACTTAAAGCGGAACTTTCCCTTTTGGGTGGAGCTCCGCTTTAAGGCTCCATGTACAGTAGTGTTTTTTAAACTCAAACACCGGAAAGAAATGCTGGATCAAAAACGCTGGTAATAGCATTTTTTTAGTAGCATTTAAGAGCGTTAGCGTTTTATTAGTGTTTTTACAGCACATGTAGAAAAAAAGCTGTTAGGAGTGTTTTAGTAGCGTTTAGCAATTTGTTCTGCTGAAAAAAATGCCCAAAAAACAAGTCTAAGTATCAGCCCTGTGCAATCCTGTGTATGACAGAACCTAGACTGGAAGCAGCACAAGTAGCCAATCAGCTGTGAAGCAGTGCTCACGTGCTTACAAAGAACCTGCAGATAGGTGGAGAGAGCAAAGTGACAGAGAGATCAGCTCATAGACTAGGGCGGGTGTCGGCAACCCGCGGCTCCGGAGCCGCATGCGGCTCTTTTTCACCTTTCCTGCGGCTCCGGAGCACACTGCCCACTAGGTGACAGGCAATAGGGTCGGCAAGCCGCGGCTCTTTTAATGCAGATCTTCTGTGTGCCGGGCGCCCGCTGGCAAACATTGGCTGTCAGGATGTAGGCGGGGCAGCCCGGATGTAGGCGGGGCAGCGTGACGAACTCCTCTCCTCTCACAGTCCGCCCTGAAGACCAGAACGGCGCGGGAACCCAGCGAGAGGAACGCGCGGAGCAAAGGTAAGTGAATTCACACAATATGGGGAATGAATTACTATGGGGGATGAATTACTATAGGGGGGATGAATTACTATAGGGGGGATGAATTACTATAGGGGGGATGAATTACTATAGGGGGGATGAATTACTATATGAGGGATGAATTACTATATGGGGGATGAATTACTATATGGGGATGAATTACTATGGGGGATGAATTACTATAGGGGGGATGAATTACTATATAGGGGGAGAATTACTATATGGGGGATGAATTACTATAGGGGGGGATGAATTACTATACGGGGGGATGAATTACTATACGGGGGATGAATTACTATACGGGGAATGAATTACTATGGGGGATGAATTACTATATGGGGGATGAATTACTATATGGGGGATGAATTACTATAGGGGGATGAATTACTATAGGGGGGATGAATTACTATATGAGGGATGAATTACTATATGGGGGATGTATTTTCAGTTTTAAAAATGTTTCTCTCAAAATAAATTTCAATCGTGGTTTTGGCGAGATTTGGCTCAGTCGAAAAAAAAGGTTGCCCACCACTGACCTAAGGCTATGATTGTGATTAT